GAAATCCATAAAAGAAAATAGAGTTACCCAAATACTTTCTGTGGAGAGAATTAGGAAATATTACACTTACTCATTTACGTGGTTTTTTATGCACCGAAACTGGTTTTCAGAAAAATAAATTTGCTGTTTCTTGTCTACACCACTTTATACTCACTTATGAACCTCAACACATGTTCATACATTTTCTATATTTGTAATTAATCCATGTACATATCTATTTTTAACCTAACATTGTTTTGTTAGGTTTTATATTACTACACATAGTGATATTTACATGTGATTTGTTGAGCCATTCCCTAAGTGTTTGATGGTTGAATTATCTCCAGTTTCATTATCATAGACAACATTGCTACCAACAACTTTGTACAAATTATTATATTTTATTGTTTTGGCTTTTTCTGATGTACACTACCAAAAGACTACCATGATCTAATCAAAGGCATTCATTGCCTTTAAAAACTAAAAACACAGAGCATAAAACTCTATTAAACAAACAAATAAAATAACCCCTTCCATTTTGGATTATAACAGTTAAGAGAAAGACAAAAGACAAAGAAATGGGAGAAAATTATTCATTCATAAATTCAACAAATATTTGAGCACCTTCTGTGTACTAGGCACTGTTCCAAAAGTATGGGATACATCAGTGAATAAGAAGGCCCCAAACCCCTGCCTTTGTAGAGCCAATATTCTAGTGGGAGAAGGTAGACAATAAACATAATAGTAAGTGAGCTAATTATATAGTAAGTTGGAAGGTGATATATGCTATGAAATAAGAAAAATAGGCTAAGGGGAATCAGGAGTGGTAGAGGAACAATAGAGGTATGTGGGTTGCAATTTCAAACAAGGGTTGGGAATAGGCATCACTGAGTAGGAGACATTTGAGCAGAGACTTGAAGGAAGTGAGGAAGTTAGCCTTGCAAGTGCTGATGAAGCTGCACAACAGGCAGAGGGAACAGCTACTGGCTAACAATGTTGGATATCCTGGAGAGACAGCAAGGAGGCTGGTGTGACTGGAGCAGTGAAGGGGGGCTCAGCAAGGTCGCCAGGACCCACATCGGGTAGGGTCTTCGAGGTACTTATAAGGACTTAAACTTCAAGGAGGCTGTGGAAAGGTTATACTGGATTCACTTTCTTTGAAAGGACAGATGCTGGACCTGTCCTTAACCCCTGAACCAAGTCTCTGGGATAGAACCAGGGAACTGTTGTATTTCTGGCAAATTCCTCAGGGTGGTTCTGTTGTGCATGTGGATTCAGGACTACTCTTTCTGTTCAAAAGTCCCACAGTTCTAAATATAAAATAATTTAATAAAAGGAAGCAAAAATTTCACAGCATTCTCAAATGTTGGTGATTTACAGACTCTGGAGATTATCTAGGAAATTGAAGCCCAGAGGTTAAGTGACTTGCTCAAGTTTACACAGCCACAAGAGGCAGACCTCGGTTTCAGATTCACTTGTCTATCCCTGAATTCAATGTGCCTTCCCCTGTACTGGGCTGCCTAATAAATGGTATCATTTCACTTATCAGGTGGTTAGATTTCCAATAGCTCCACCATTAGGAACATAGTTTGAATCCAGAAGCTTTATAAGGTTGATTGGTTGATTAAATATTTGATTATCTAAAAATCAATCAGATAGCTACTATTGTTTTAACCTTTACAGCTAAGAATCATTCAAAATGTATTAATCACATTTGCTGCTTCTCTAGAGGAATTCTGAAGAGTCATGCCATCTTAGAATTGGAAGGGACCTTAATTGTTCAGCATCTTGCAGTGCCTGTGGGCCATAATTTTAAAGTTAGCTCTTATTTAATCCTATTATAAAACACACAAACCATTCAGGTGACCCTGGACATATTGGAGGTTTTGTTTTACAGTATGTTTCTGATTTAGGTTACTTTCTTTTGATTTGCTTCTTGGACATTTTCTGTTGCTAAATTTTTCTCCACTTAATTTTTTTTTTATAACATTGGTCTTTCTGGCCTTATTCTGTAACTTGGGCCTAAATGTTATCAGCAATGTCTGAGCCTGTAGTCTCTGCTGTCACCTGGGATGTATTGAAGTGGTCAGTGGCAATTTATTCAGAAATCCCTTCTATGGGCCAGAACTCAGGCCTCACAACTAAGCTGAGGAAATTTCAGTTAAACCATTTCCCCTCCACTTGCACACTTCTGCAGGTTTCAGCAGCCAGATCTGTTCCAGCAATGGGGGCAGGTTGCACATTCCCACTGAGAACACTTGGTGGAGATTATAGGGACACATGATTTTTTTTCTTTCACTAAGCCAGAATTGGCAGTCGAAGATGTGTTTGAGCTACTGGCTGCTTTGGGAATGGGAAGAAAAATGTATATCTAGTGCATTTCCCCTTCTATCTTCTATTTCAACAAAGAACTTGCAGTCAATGAAAGGCACTGGTCCTAATATGAACTGTTCAGTTAACCCACTAAAGCAGCCTAGTCCTTTTCACTAGCTACCTTGAGGTCACCTACTCTTTCAAGGCTTAATTATTCTTATTTTTTAACGTAGAAAGTTCAACCTGAATTTGTTTCTGGGTGACTTGTAGCTTCATGATTCAGCTCCTAATGTTCTCCACCAGAAGATTGGTTGTAATTTCTATTTTATCACAATCTTCTTGCCTTTCAAAGCCTCAGTGAGTGACTGGTGCTTTTTTCCTGGGTGGTTTCATTGCATTCCTAGAGAAAACTCTGAAAAAGTAGACATGTGTCATGAGAATTAGCATGGCTCTAAATTTCAATATGTGAAGGCTGTCATTGATAGCTCCATGAAAGGTAATGACTGAAATGCTATACGCATTATCACAGATAAGCTTTAGGAATGATTAAACCCTGACTTGAACATTACATCAGGGACTAGTGTAGAGAGTAGTGTTTTTAACTCTGATGTTGTTTTCCCAGGTCCTAAATTGTCCTTTGGAAGCAGAGAAGATGGTAGCTATGAGGCTTAGTTTTAAATGAATGACTGTCCCCATATCTCAGTCTCAGCCATTTAATGTGGTGTTCTTATAGGCATGGATGGGACCAGGAAGCATGGACCTCAGCAGCCTGGAAGGGAACTGTGGTGGAGGCTATGATGCCAGGAAAGGACTTACTCCTCCAGCTACTGGGAGTGCTGCCAGCAGAAAGCCCTTGGCTCGGCTGACATCTCCTGGGGGCCGTGCCTCAGCTGAAGAGAGCCACCTTGCCCAAGGTCACTGAGGTGGCCTGCATGTAAAGACTGGTCCATGCTGGGGTATAAAGGCCCATCAGAACAGCTCAGAACCCAGCCCCAACTCAGAACAACTCTGATGCATCATCCCACCTTCAGAATCCTCCCTGCAGGGATGCCTGAGGCTTGGTCAATTTCTCCCCTGCTCAAGCTTGCCTCCCTCCCATCCCTTCCTTTATTTCCTCCCACAAATGACTATAAGAGCACTTCCTAAAAAGCCTCCCTCTGCCTGCTAAACACCATCTCAGAATCTGCTTCTAGGAGGACCCAACCTGTGCAGAAATTTTATGAGCAATTTGCCTGTTCATTAAAAAATATAGCATAGACTTTTTCCAGGTTAGCTGGAGATGGAGTTTTTGTATCAAAAAAAGAGAGAGCTAAACTGAGAAGAGAAGCAAAGGCAGAAGAATAAGGTTAGACTCTTTCTCTGTATATCTGAATTTGGGATTGGGAATGATACCTTGCTTCTCTATGAAATTTAGAAACTGTCTTTTGAAGTCTTCATCCAGTCACGTCCAAGAGTGGTACAGGAAGAAAAAGGAAAATAAGAATGAAAAAAAAAAAAAACCCTTAAAATTGAATACTTCTTTGTGCCTTGCATTAAGCCTCTATGTTATTGCCCTTGTCTGTATAAGCAACTCTAGATAAAATCCTTTCTTAGACCATCTAATTATCTCCCCGTACCATTGTGGCAATACGGCAGGAATTACTGTGGGAACCGGTGACTGAATGGGCAGTGGCGTCTCTCAGCTCTAACTCGGAGTTCACAAGGGAAGGATGAACAGCAGCCATCCTTCTAAAGGCATTCTTCCTCTCCTCCAGCACAGCTCAGTCTGTGCATGCCTCACCAAGGAGAATGAGGGAAGGCCTTGTTGACTGCCCAGCCCAGAATGTGAGGAAGAGCAGTTGACATGGGCGGCTGGATGGGGTAGAAATCAGCATGAACATTTAGTGGCACCCAAAGAAGAGGTGAAAACGGGGGAGACAGCCAAGAACCATCAGACAGCTTCTTTCTGTTCTTTCCTTGGATCTTAGGGGAACGTATGTGTTCAAGGGTGCCTTCCTCCGCAGGGCCTCCCATCCCTTGGCATGAACTTCCAAACGATGAGTAGACATGGAATGGGCTTCTTCCAAAGACTGGGTCACCATCCAACTCAGCCTTCGGAGTAGGCGGTGGGGCTGCGGGAAGAGGACGGACCCATGAGGTCTCTCCATCATTCCCCGGGTGTGTTGACAGGCGAGCAAATGCAGTGGATGGGCCTGGGCTGTAGGGCCCCTGCCATTTCGGGAGGGGCCTCCTGGTGTTTAGCTCTGGGATGTGTGAAAATGTGTTGGTGAAAAGCGAGAGGCTTACACAGCCCTTCAGGGGAAGAGGGGCTGGGGCGCTGGGGGCGGCGTCGGGATGAGTGCAGAAGAGACGAGGCCTCTGGACAGCGGAGGAGGAGGGGAGGGCGCCGAGACGCGGTGCCAGCTGCCGCGCACAGGGTCCCCGCGGCGGAGCCGAGCCGCGGGCACGCTCTGCCCAGTCGGGAGAGCTCGGAGAGCGGCGGGAGGGGCGGAGGGGCGCAGTGGGGCCCGGGCGGCTGCGGCCGCGGAGCCGGGGCACCTGAGGAGGAAGGAGGGTGGGAGGGAGGGAGGGAGGGGACGGGTGCAGACCGAAAGTGGGGAAAGAAGGTGCAGGCAGGCGGGCAGGCGGGCGGGCGCCCTGGCCCAGGGCCGCGGGTGCGGGAGCCCGGCGAGGTCGAGCTGGGCGGCGGCGGGGGCCGCGCCGAGGGAGGAGGGGAAGGCGGAGGCGCTGGGAGCGTGTTTGGGGCGCCGCGGCGGCGAGGGTGGCGGCCGCTGGTGCGCGCGGGGCGCTGTGTGTGCGCGCTCCCCAGCTCGGGGAGGAAGATGGCCCAAAAGGGAAAGTTGGGGTGACGCGCGCGTTACCCGGAGGCTCGGCGGGGGGCACCGCGGCCAGCCCGACGGAGCGGCGGACACACAGGCCGGGGGGCGCGCAGTCCGGGCGCCGCCGCGACCGCCCCCTCACTGCAGGTGGCAGCGGGTGCGCTGGGTCCCGGCGGCCGCGGGCGCGGGCGGGCGCGCGGGGGAGCCCGGCCGAGGGATGGGCTGCGCCCCCAGCATCCATGTCTCGCAGAGCGGCGTGATCTACTGCCGGGACTCGGACGAGTCCAACTCGCCCCGCCAGACCACCAGCGTGTCGCAGGGTCCCGCGGCACCCCTGCCCGGCCTCTTCGTCCAGACCGACGCCGCCGACGCCATCCCCCCGAGCCGCGCGTCGGGACCCCCCAGCGCCGCCCGCGTCCGCAGGGCCCGCACAGAGCTGGGCAGCGGCAGCAGCGCGGGTTCCGCAGCCCCCGCCGCGACCACCAGCAGGGGCCGGAGGCGCCACTGCTGCAGCAGCGCCGAGGCCGAGACTCAGACCAGCTACACCAGCGTGAAGGTAAATGCCCCGCGCTGGCACACAGTGTGGGGGCCGCCCGCCCCGTCGGCGGGGCTTGCACGGGCTGGGGGCTCTGGCGGAGTTGGGTGACCGTGACGCGGTTGGTTTGGAGAGGTTGTCACTAAGGAGGAGTTTACTTTTCGTTTGTGGAGATGATGGGAGCCCAGGAAATGTGGACAGAAAAAGGCCCCTGGAGGGGTCCTGGGAGCGTCCTTAGCTGGTCCTGGGGGACGGGGCGGGGAAGGGAGCGCAGAGGGAAGCAGGTGGTCTGGTCTGTTCCTCCTTGAGGACAGGAAGGCTGTGGCTTGGAGGAAGCGGGGTGGGGACCATTGAGAGCATTCGGTGGCCAGTCCTGTTGAATGAAATCTGAGCACGAGCTGGATTTGCATGCCTTGTAGGTGACTGGTGCAGTTGCAGCACCAGGATAGATAGTGCCCCATATTCCGATTTTTACCTGGGATTACCAGCCAGGCTGGAGTCTCAGCACAGGCACCGAGCGTAGGGATTTGTGAATGAATAAGTGTTCGTGTTTTGAGAAGAGATGTGGGAACGGAGCAGAGTGGAACCTGTTGTTTGTCACTGTAACGTTTCTCTGGGTTGGCTGCATCCTAGACAGAATTGAGAGAATCGGGCCATGAGTTCGGAGTGTCAGCAGAGCCACCGTGAGGGGACGTGGTTTCCAGTGCAGTACAGCTGTCTGAGGATGATTCTGCACGTACATATGGTCTTTCCAGAAAGTGGGATTTTGAGGAAGTGGAAAAAATTGTTTAGGTGGTTAAAGCAGTCGCTAAATATTTATTTCTTAATGACAGAAGAAAAATAATTATTTAAATAGTGTCCTCCTGTATGTTCTCAAAGTACTATTAAATGTAAGAGGCTTTTCATTGTGTAAATCTGGGCACTGGGTCTTTTTTCCTTACAGCAAACAAGATGACAATGGCATATCCCATTGTACAGAGAGAAGAAATACACATCTCTATGACTCCTAATGTCAGATAGAATCACAGCCTTTACCTGGCCAATAGGTTACCAAGAAGCATTCCGTGGATTTTTGTCAAAGACACATTTGTATTTTTAGTAGTTAAAAACTTGGTCTTCATAGGGTGAAGTCAGCCCACAGTGGAGCAGTGAGGAGAAGGATAACATATTTTGGCTTCAATCTGGAAGTCCAGAAGTTTTTTAATGAACCTATTTTTTTTTTTAACAGCATCTGATTGTTTAACATGAAGCTTAACTGATGTTTGCTTGTGGTTGCAGTGTTTCTCTGGCAGTAATCATAATCACCATTATAATAAAAACACCATTTATTGAGCACCTACTATGTGCCAGAAATAAGCTTTCTCTCCTAACTATTGAATGTTAACAGTGTGATCTTAGCATAGCATATCTGAAGACTAGAGTCTAGGATTCATGACAGTACAAACCTACCAGTTGTCCATTTGTTACAGAGGCATGTGCTGAAAGCTATACTTTGCTTTTGTCAGGCTCTCTCTCTCTCCCCCTCCCTGTTCACACACAGTTAGCTTTAGGAGCAATTTTCAGGGATGAAAATGTTAAATTTGGTGAAAATATTAAGTTGGGCTGTTATCGGTAAAGACCATCCTATTGCCTGATGGTTGAAGACCTGAAGCAGTAGTTCAAAATGGTGACAGCTCATGAACTTTGTGATACTTTTTTTGGTTGCTCCAGAGAAATTGTGAATTTTTGTTTTCCAGAATATCAAGAATCTCAGTTTAGTGCTTGGCAACTCTAGCTACTCCATGTTTGTTCAGTAGAAGAAAGAATACTGAATGAACCCATTCTGTACGTTTTTAATACTTCCCTCAAGAGGCTGCTTAGAGACCAAATGAAGTAAAAACTGAAGGGACAACGAGTCCCAATTATTAGTAGCTTGTATAAACTTGTGTAAATCTCATTGCTACTTGGCTTAAGTGTTAAAAGGCTTGACCTGGGTTAAAATTGAACTCATTTTGCTTTATCAACAAGATTCCCAAATAAGAGCTTAATTCACTCTAACCCATTACTAGGAATGTTGGAAATGAAACCGCTGGTTCAGTGACTTAACACTGCTTTGCATTGTGTGGATCTCAGAAAGTATATATTTGAAGTGAAATTTGAGACCAGAGTTATTTATGCAAATCTTACAGAACTGCCATCACAGAACTGCCCTAATATATTTAATAGTATCCTTTTAGGCCTGTGACTGGGCGTCGTATTGTCTTTTCTCAATCTTAAAGTTCACATGTTCTGTGCCCTTTTGTTGCTGAGATAATTTTATAAAAACTTTGCTTTCATTTTTCGTAGACTAAGCATTCTTTTTTTACCTTAAGAGTTTGAGATAGTTGCTAGGCACGTGGTGGTGCCCCACGCCTTTCCGAAGCACACAGGTGGAAAAAGTAAAATCTTTACCATTTGGTCCTATTTACAATGGTGGAAAGTTGAAATAGTTTCCACCCCCTCCCCCCACCACTTTACATCGATTATGAAGTGTATCCTCATTATCTGCTTGGCCTCTGGTATTCCCCAGAGTGCAAAAATGTGTGCTTGATCTCTCTCTCTCTTTTCTAGCAATAATTCATCTCATTAAGCTTTTAGAATGATGAGGCATTATGATGTCAAACATGATGTCAACAGGAACCTTCCTGAATACCTAATTTGCAAAAAAAAAAAAAAAAGGATTATAAGCATTAATAATTCATATGCAGTACAATGATATCACATGGGTTTCCATTTCTGGTAAGAAGTTAGATTTGTCTCCCAATTGCTGTAAAAATGCAACTTCCTAGCAATTTCTTTCCTTTTTGCTTGCCTTTTCAAAAATAGTACTCCAACAGGAGAACCCTGCCGGATGCTCACTCTTGATATTGTGCCAGTTTTGTAATTCTTGTTCAGAAATCCTCAGAGGAGATGGTTGAACCTCTCTCTGGGAAGAACCAGGGATTCTTACAAGTTTTCTCATACCAGCTGTTCCTACTTGGGAGCATCTGGGACTAGACAACCAGTTGTAGAAAGGAATCTCTACTGACAATACCATCAACTTGCTATGACCGCGGTGTAGGTTAACTCTTTTGTGGATTAGACACAGGACGTTGTTAGTTTCCAGATGGCAGCATCACCAGCTCCCCGCTTTCCCTCCATTCATACAGAATGTGCTCATTTGTTCATTCAGTATTTGTGGCCAGACTGTGTTGTAGGTGCTAGCGATTCAGGAAATATCCATGAAATTTGGTAAGCAAAGCCTAATGAGGAGGATAAATCTCCTGTGAAATGGTGTGCCTAAACCAGTTATTAGTGACTTCTGTGTTTTCTGTTCCATAGCGTTCTAGAATTTGTGAGGATAATCCTGAGTTGACTATATGTAAAAGGAAAATAAATAGATATTCCACTGACCTTATGGTAAATAATAATACGATTTTATCTGGGGGAGGAGTAGAGCTATATTGGAGAAAAGTCATTTTTGTTTTCTAAGTAGGTATTTTGGAGTCAAACTTTAGTGTACGCCAGAATCGCCTAGAGAGCTTGTTAAAATATAGATTGCTGTACTCCACTCCCAGAGATTCTGATTTAGTAGGTCTTGGGTGGGGCCTGAGAATTTGAATTTCTAGCAGGCTTCCAGAAGATGCTAGTGTTACTGATCTGGGGACCACATTTTGAGAACCACTGCTTTTCAGTGAATTAAATTATCTGTCGGTTGGCCAGGTGAATGAGGTGGGGCCACCTCTAGCAGAGTGCATAGTACCACACTGTCTTTATCTGGGGTACCAGTCATAGCACTGCTTTCATCTTAGTTCACTTCTGTATGGGAAACCTGCTATCGCTGTACAAGAAGTCAAACTCTGAGCCTCTGAGATTTGCTAAAAAGTCTGTAAGTGAGGAGACTGCTCGATCCTGTAGCCAACTCTGGTTTCTTGAGGTAAGTTTTCCCCAGGATCCTTTTGGGTTTGTACAGGTCATAATGTCTTGCTTTGCCACCACAAGAGACGCCTAAAGCAAGACTGGATGTTACATGATACAGGCACATATTCTCTTCTCAGCTCTTGGAATTCCTGCTACGCCTTTCACCATCATTTTTCATTTTAAAATGGAATATAAAGTTTAGTAAGCTCAAGTGAGTCCTGCAAGCTGATTTCATAAGATTCAAGTTTGCCTTCTGCCATCGTATATATGATTACAGTTTAGTTCCTCCTTTTCCCAACACATTAATTAGAATGAATGAGCACATTTTCCTTATTTTCATGACTTTCTTCAGTAGTTCCATGAATTTTTAAGGACCATCAGGTAATTTTTCCTTTTAAAGGAAAGTAAGTCCTCAAGCCAGGATGTAACATAGTATAAGCTGCCAGCTGTTCAGAGATGATACAGTTTCTACTGAAATCCTGTTTTGCTGACCACCAGGTATGGCCTGGGCACCAGCAGGACAGGACATGCTGGTGAGGGCAGGGCAGATTGTGGGGCACTAGACTGGTCATGAGTTAAGACCAGTAATCAAAATAGGAAGAAGGGAGTGAGCCCTGTGGAACCAGGTGGGAAGACAAGAGTCCAGAGTTTGGACAACCAGCAAAGTTGGAGGGGGGCAGGGAGCAGGTGGGAACGCTGGGGCCAGGCAGGCAAGGGAAATCTAGAAATTAGTGGTTCAGCAAGGGTGACAGCTGTTGAACCAGGTTGAGACTTCTGATGGCAGAATAGAAACTTCTCACTTTCTATTCTATTCAGGAAGCTGTGGTGACCAATCAGAGGACTGTAGGTAACTTTGTGAACCCAGCACCAAATGACACAAGACCAACCAAGCAATCCTTCCTTGCACCCTGATCAGACAGAGTCTGGGCAGTAAACAGACTGCACATCCAAAAGGGTTAACTCAGAATAATCAAATGAAGGGATTACTGCAAATTTTTTGGCAGAATGAAGGAAAGACAACAAATGAAGCTGAAGCACCCTAGGCTGAAAAAAGAGGGAGCTGTCACTACCCCAGAAGAGTCAAGGGGAGGGGGTGTGTATTC